CAAGATGATACTTTAAGCTTTTTATGTAGCCGAATCTGCGCTGGTTTGAATGGGCTGCCTCCAGCTAGCGCCGTGACGTCGGCTGACCCTAGTTCCCTTTCAGTCAGTCACGTTCTACGTTACGTCAGGCGTGACTGACGAATTGGGATCTCGCCCGAGAGCCCAATCACCTTCGAGTGTAAACTAAACAAGACAATGACAGTTGGCGTGCGTGTTTCGCCATGCGCACCCCGACCCGCAGCGTGGGTATAAAAGGAGAGTGCGTGCAAATGCACAGCTCTCGGGCGAGATCCCAATTCGTCAGTCACGCCTGACGCAAACGCACATCAGCTTTTCGCTTTGGAGCCGAGCCTTCTACTAGGATGAATCTCCACGAGTGTCTGCAAAGAAACAGCCTAGCGTTGGTGTTACGGCGCGTCAGCTGGGGTTGCCATTCAGTGCTGCTCATCTTCGGCATGCAGCAGCTGCCATTCTGCGGTCTCGCCGCGACCTCCCCTGGGCGCTTCAGCGCTCTCTCTAAAAGAGTGTTTCCTTTTTTCCTAAAAAGAGCAAATGTCTAAAAGAGCTCCATAAAAGAGTGTTTCCTTTTTTCCTAAAAGAGCAAATATCGAAAAGAGCTCCACGAGCGATGGGCGTCTTTTTAAAGATGGCTTCCCGCTCGTGCATTTCTGGATGTGGTCGTTTCCTGGCTTCATCTGATGGTCATGATCGCTGTGTCTCGTGCCTGGGCGTACAGCACACTGAAACAGTGGTGTTCAGCACCACCTGGTGTTCCTGGACGAGTGTGCTGGGTCCTCGGACAGGGCGGGGTTCAGCATCTTGTGCGGAGCACAAGCGAACGACAGGATGTCGACCGCTGCATCGGAGGGTGAGCTAGGCTCTGGAGATGAGGATTCGGCTGTGCTACCTCTGTCAGGAAGAGCGGCGTTGCCCGAGTCAGATCCAGAGCTGACCGCTATGCTTTCCCGGGCCGCCGAGAGTGTCGGGCTGCACTGGAGGCCCAGCCTAGCGTTGGTGTTACGGCGCGTCAGCTGGGGTTGCCATTCAGTGCTGCTCATCTTCGGCATGCAGCAGCTGCCATTCTGCGGTCTCGCCGCGACCTCCCCTGGGCGCTTCAGCGCTCTCTCTAAAAGAGTGTTTCCTTTTTTCCTAAAAGAGCAAATATCGAAAAGAGCTCCACGAGCGATGGGCGTCTTTTTAAAGATGGCTTCCCGCTCGTGCATTTCTGGATGTGGTCGTTTCCTGGCTTCATCTGATGGTCATGATCGCTGTGTCTCGTGCCTGGGCTTACAGCACACTGAAACAGTGGTGTTCAGCACCACCTGGTGTTCCTGGACGAGTGTGCTGGGTCCTCGGACAGGGCGGGGTTCAGCATCTTGTGCGGAGCACAAGCGAACGACAGGATGTCGACCGCTGCATCGGAGGGTGAGCTAGGCTCTGGAGATGAGGATTCGGCTGTGCTACCTCTGTCAGGAAGAGCGGCGTTGCCCGAGTCAGATCCAGAGCTGACCGCTATGCTTTCCCGGGCCGCCGAGAGTGTCGGGCTGCACTGGAGGCCGCCTCCTCCTCCTGAACGCTCGAGGCTCGATGATTGGTTCCTGGGGGTGCAGGCCGGGCGTCGGCAGCCACCTCCGGTTCCATTCTTCCTGGAAGTGCATGAGGAGGTTACCAAGTCTTGGAAGGCACCTTTTTCTGCCCAAAACAGACTTGGTGCCTCCTCCGTCCTCACCACCCTCAACGGGGGAGCGGCCCAAGGGTATGTGGACATCCCCCCAGTCGAGCGCGCTATTGCTATGCAGCTCTGCCCGCAAAGTGCCGCCGCCTGGAGAGGTAGTCCACGCCTTCCGTCCGGGGCCTGTGAGTTCTCGTCCGCGCTGACGGCTAAGTCTTACAGTGCTGCTGGACAGGCCACTTCCGCCCTGCACGCCATGGCCCTCCTGCAAGTCCACCAGGCCAAAGCGTTAAAGCAGTTGCACGAGGGTGGTGCTGACCCAGGTGTGCTGCAGGAACTGCGCACGGCGACGGACCTCGCGCTTAGGGTGACGAAAGTCACGGCGCGGGCCCTGGGTCAGACGATGTCCACATTGGTGGTCCTGGAGCGCCACCTATGGCTGAACTTGGCAGATATGAGGGAGACCGACAAGCATCGCTTCCTGAACTCCCCGATCTCCCAGGCCGGCCTATTCAGCGAAGCAGTGGAGGGCTCTGCCCAACAGTTCTCTCTCAGTAGAACGTGCACAGTCGATGCTGAACTGCCTGGGGTCCTTCCAGTGCAAGACGGCGGTTCCACTGAAACAGTTTCAGAGGCTCCTGGGGCATATGGCATCCGCAGCTGCTGTCACGCCGCTGTTAGTTTCCCCCAGTGAGCCTTCTCGCACAGACACTGTGCAAGGTCAGGGAGGACGAGGAGCAGGTTCTCCTGGTAGCACCATACTGGCCCAGTCGGACTGGGTTCCCAGAACTGATGCTCCTCGCGACAGCCCCTCCTTGGCAAATTCCTCGGAGGAGGGATCTCCTTTCTCAGAGAGGAGGCACCCTCGTCCAGACTTGTGGAATCTCTACTTGTGGTCTCTGGATGGGACGCGGAGGTTCTAGGTGGGCTACATTCAGCGGTAGTAAACACCATCACTTCAGCTAGAGCCCCGTCTACCAGACACGCTTACAGGCTGAAGTGGAACCTGTTCGTCGATTGGTGCTCTTCCCGTCGGGAAGACCCCCGTAGATGCCCGATCGGAATCGTGCTTTCTTTCCTGCAGGATGGGTTGGAGCGAAGGCTGTCTCCCTCCACCCTTAAGGTGTATGTTGCCTCCATTGCCACACATCACGAGGCAGTAGACGGTAAGTCTTTGGGGAAGCACGACTTGGTCATCAGGTTTCTCAGAGGGGCCCAATTCGTCAGTCCCGACTGACGTAATGTAGAACATGACTGACTGAAAGGGAACGTCTCGGTTACTTGTGTAACCCTCGTTCCCTGAAGGAGGGAACGGAGACGTTACGTCTCATCGCCACAGTTGCTGTACCACCGCTGTACGGCCGGGGCCCGTAGTCTCGGCTCCTCAGCGAAAAAAAAACTGATGTGTGTTTGCACGTGCTCTCCTTTTATACATGCGCTGCGGGGCGGGGTGCGCGTGGCGAAACACGCACGCCAACTGTCATTGGCTTGTTTAGTTAACACTCAAAGGTGATTGGGCTCTCGGGCGAGATCCCAATACGTCAGTCACGCCTGACATAATATCTCCGTTCCCTCCTTCAGGGAACGAGGGTTACACAAGTAACCGAGACGTTATCTGTGGTTGGCCTGGCCATGCGCCACTCAGAAAACAACAGGCCAATCAGAAGAGGCTCATGAATATTAATTAGACAGGCCAAAATCGACCTGTTCTCAGCAGAGCTCCTGAGAAAGGAGCTGTAAAAATATATTGAGATGGTTTTTGGTACTTTATACTGCAAATATATATTCTTAAGGACATCAAAACCTAAAATAAAACTCCAGAAAGGTGTAAAATATGGGACCTTTAAGACTTTTTAAGGCCTTAATTTGATACAACTAAATTTAAGACTTGTTAAGACCCCGCGGAAACCCTGTACATATGTGTAGGTTACGTGCATCTCAGAGCAGTTCTGTTCACAGTAAATGCTGCTCCACACAAACAGTTCTCATTTACATATCTTACAATCTCAATCTTTGCTGTGAGTTGCTTATAACGTGCATCTGGGAACAATGTGCATCATTCTATCAGAATTATAAGGTAAATCATTTATAAACCTACCCTGATAGCACACGTACATCACAAATTCTGCATTTACATCTATCTGCAAGATGTATTTTTTTAGAGTGTTTGCTCATCTGCAATACGTCTATAGGACATCTCCTATCAGATGTCAAAAGGACATTTAGAAGATGTCTTTAAGATGTTTATGATTTAGAATGTATGTAAAACTGATATACATTTACTGATATACGTTTCGATGTCCACATGTTCTTTTTCAAGAAACGACAGTGGCTGTAGCATTTCTAACATAAAGAAGTGGCCAAATATTAAAGATTAAGTGGACATTTGAATGAAATGTTGTTTAGTCAATATTAAGGATTAGATCGCACTATAAAAGTGTATAAACAATCATCAAGTCGCCGGCACCCTCTGCAGACATTTGATTTAATACATAATGTACATATGTTTTGATTATATAGTTTTATTACATTATGTATTATATATATATATATATATATATATATATACACATACATATATATATATACACATATATATATATAAAGTCATTTTAAAATCTATTGTTTGTTTAGGTCTATTTTTATTACCACAAAAAATAATACTATCCGATTACTCGATTAATCGTCAGAATAATCGACCAATTACTCGATTACAAAAATAATCGTTAGTGACAGCCCTAATATAAACCTATACTATAATACTATAAAGGTCCAGTCATACAAAGGAAAAATAATCCATCAGAATACCGTTTTTTATCTTCTGGCTGAAATATTGCAAAATAATATTTTTTTCAAGTTTACTGAAGTACGTTTTAAAAGTAAATACTACTTCAGTTTTTCTACTTCAAAATTTCACGTTTAATTCAATGTGTTGCTTGCAGTGTCTTTGTAATTATTTGTGAAATTTATTAGCAATTTCTGAGTAAATTTCTGAGTAGTTTCAAAGTAAATCCTACACCAATTTTTTTTTTTCAGCTTTAAGCTTTTTTCAGCTTTAAGAAAGCCACACGCCAAATGTGGAGCTGTTGGATTCAAATACAGTTCACAGAGCAGTAGGCGGACAGGTGCTGTAGACCTAGAAAGCTTCCAGTGGGCAGAAAGTGCTAGAAAAGCGCGACGTTTTCATGAGAAAAGAGCACATTCGTGCAATACGAGCGTGAGTTTTTAAAACTGTGTATTCACAGATGGAGTCTGGCGGCAGGAAACACTGTGTGAATCACATCCTCTGCTTACAGGTTCTCAGCTGCAGCCGTTAACACGCACTCACCTTTTTTTAGCTCCTGTGTTTTCTCGGGCAGAGAGTCGAACCTGCGCGCTCCCACGCTCATCAGCTTTTCCACTCTCTCCGCCGAGATCTCAGCTGGGCAGGGCAGCTTTTCACACACCATTGCTGAGTAACAGTTAAAGAAAACGCACTCGACTGGCACTTTCCACAAATACAGTACAAAATAGGTCCTGAAATGTTTTTTTTTTTGGTCACCGAAAAAGTGCTAACCTTAAAAAAAAAATTAAATGTCAGGATGTAAATTAAGATATTTTAAGATATATTAAATTCATTTATATGGGGCTTGCAGCCCAAATTTTGAGATATGTCCAATAACGAGTTCTAAAAATCTGATTTTTTTTGTGCTTTTTTATTATTTTTGGTGTTCAAGTCAATCAGTAAGATTTTCTAATATTTCTGAAATAATTATTTTATGCTCACCAAGGCTGAACTTAATTAATCAAAAGTACTATATAATTAATAATATGGTGAAATACTATATATATTTTTTATTTTAATACATTTTAATATGTAATTTATTTTTGTGACGCCAAAGCTGAATTTGCTATTGCAGTCGTCAGTGTCTCATGATCTTTCAGAAATCATTCTAATTTGATGATTTGAGAAGCATTTCTTATTGTTATAACAGTTGTGCTGCTTAGTATTTTTGTGCAAACCATTTTTACTGTACTTAAAATTAAGACATATATAAGACAAGTATTAGATTCCTGATTTTTTTTCTGACAGTAACTTTGGTAACAGGGTTGAATGCTTGATGAACGAAATTATGTCAGAATTGTGACGGATTATTTAAATGACTGGATAGTCAAGAAAATCAAGACTTGTGAAGTGTGACCAAAATTCACCATTTTAAGGGTAGAGTACACAGACATCTGATGTTTTAAACTAGCTACCAGGTCAATTTTATATTTAATAAAAGTTTATCTAACATATCTAGTAGTTCTCACTACTAAAAAAGCAAAGGTTTGTGCCTGCAATGCTTTAAAAGCAACGGTTCACTAACTGTGAAAAGTTACAACTACTTTCCATTCACAAAAAAACAACACGCAAACATAAAACACCTGCCAAGTGGGCCAAAATTGTACATTTGCAAAGTATTTTGAGAATCACTCAATTCCATGTTTAGGGGAACAACTGACATTACCAAAAGCGTTAATCGCAGTGGCGTGTCACTCCAAGCACCTGTCACCACAGTAATTGCGAGGCTTGTCTGTGTCAATCATATCAGCACAGAAGAAGCTGCCTAATAGCGGTCGGTTGTGCGTTTCCTCCCCGTACAGCTGGTGAGATCACGGCAGGATGGCTGATTGCGGAGGAGGTGGACAACGACAGTCAAATGCCTAGAGCTGATGTGGCTAACGTCACCGGAGGTTGTGTATCATTAGCAGCGGTGTTGTGTGTCGTACGTTTCTAGAATCTATACTCTGAAATTCAGACTTTTGGACAGTCCAAGACACAGGACCAAAAGGTTAAACCAATCTTTATATGCCAAATGTCTTCCCTTCTCTGTTGTATTACTCAAACATTGTATCTAGGAGGATTTAAAGTTGATCCCACTACAAAGAACGGGTACTTAAAATAATTATGTGACTCAAATTACAAGTTACACAACTATAACCAACCGCACCGCCAGAGAGAAACAATGCCAGAACTGGCTTGTCTACGAAAACTGCTAAAAAAAGTTTACATTATTTATTTAGGGCAGTTATCTCTAATCTAATATCTCTCTCATCTACTGTATTTGTCTCCTTTATTCCCAGTTTATCAGAGACTGCAGTTATAGATGCCACCAATTGCAGTTCATTATGAAAATAAATGCAAGATAGAAGACCAATCACAATGAAGTGTTTACAAGACAATGATGTCGAAATAATGCTGTCAATTTTAATATTACATTTCTTAAAAACTTTAAAAAATGCCAAAATAAATAGATAGATAGCATACCTAAGGCTAAAATTATCAACAAAACTAATTATCATCTAAGGAATTCATATTTTTATTCAATAGGATGCATTAAATTGATCAAAACTGACAGTAAATACTTTTAGATTGTTGCAAAAAATTACTTAAAAAATTAATTTAAAGTAAATGCAGTTCTTTTGAACTTTCTATTTATCCAAGAACCCTAAAAATAGAAATCACAGTTTCCACAAAATTAAGCAGCACAACTATTTCCAATAATAACAAAAAAAAATGTTTCTTGAGCAGCAAATCAGCATATTATAATGATTTCTTAAGGAAGAAATTAAAATAAAAATGATGCAGAAATATGTGTCAAATTATTTCACAATGTTACGGTTTTTGCTGTATGGTTGATTAAAGCTGCAGTCCGTAAGTTTTGCCTCTTTGTTGCCATCTCTGTTTGAAAACCTGCAATTGCAGCTGTCTGTGTAATTATATTCCATGCGTGGGGTTGTGCTCCGGCGCGGATGAATCTAATGTTCTGAAGAGTGTGTGTGTGGCAGTCAGTCACCGCACTGGTGTGGATATTTACTGTACTTCACAGATTCTAGCCTACGTCTTGGAATATGACCCAAATAAGAATTTTCACCGTATATTGCCATCTGAACAAGTAACAAGTCTGCCACGTTTGTTCTGACCAACTGAGGAAACAAGCATTACCATAAATCGTGCTACCAATGGTGATTAAATCTAAAGATCGGTTAGCTCATATCACATCAAATCGTTCAAATTATTATTATTGTTATACTTTATTCTCAAATGATTAATGTTAACAACATCATCATTGGTGACTATGAGTATAGTGTGTATTAGCGTGTAGATTTCAATTTCTGCACAGTCTAATCTCTAATTGTCATACTCTTCGAATTTCATATTCAGAAATTATTTTGACCCAAAAAGCAAATTATGCTCCCTTCTAACTGGTTTTCTTTAAAATACAAATCTTTGTAATCCCAGCTAAACGATGCGCCACCTGCAGGATCCTCACATGCGATATAGCTAGTATCCGGGACAACTTCTTTATGTTTACAGACGTGACGTAATGACGCAGCAGCATGCTCGAATTTCCCGCGAAAACCTACCCGTACCACTCAAATGAGAAAACATTATTATAAGCTAAGCGTTGTGAATCGGGCTAAAATAAGGCGATAGCTTTGAACACTGGCTGGTTATGTACTTGCTCAAATATTGTTTTCGGATCATTTTTAACCAAAAAAAGTTACGGACTGCAGCTTTAAATAAATGCAGCTTTGGTGAGCATAAGAGACTTCTTTCAAAAATGTTATAAAAACTCTTCCCGACCCCAAACTTTTGAACAGTAGTAGTTTTTCAACACAACCGCTCATGGTTTCATGGTAAAGGATACAGAGCACAGCTCGAGACACAGGAAGCCACTGGCTGCAGATGGCACTGAGGAGCACTTTGGGGTCCGAGTGTCTCAGGTCACGAGACATGACCTTTAACCCCAGAGAGGTCACCATCTTCTCCACCTTTTCCTTGTCCCTGGAAATGTGTAAATGCAGTGCAAGAAAAACAGGAAATATACATTTAAAGTGACTTTTTAACTTTGAAATTTAAAAAAAAAGTGCATTGCTGAATTATGCACAATTAGACCACAATTGCGCATTCATAAAGTAATCAGGGTAAATTTATTCGTTTATTTAATGTTTTTATTTCATGACTCAATTTTATAACATTGTACACTAGCAAATGTCAGCACTGTTGAGGTCCATTTAATGCCATCAGTGTTATTTTAGCATTATTTGTATACTTACAGTATTTATTAATACTGTATTTTAAATTTTCATTTAATTAACTTTAATTTAACTAAAGTTTTCATTTTAATTTTAGTTTTAGTCATTTTGTTATGTACTTTTGTCATTTTTATTTCTGCTTTTTTACATTTTATTTCAGTTTATTTTTTTATTTTTTTTACTTTTTGTATTTTAGTATTTTTGCAACTTTACTTATACTTTTTTTTGTAATTAAGTTGCATTAATTTTGTTAAGGGTTACATTTCTATTTAGCTTTAATTTATTTTTATTTCAGGTTTAGTAACTTTTGCCAGGGCAATGTTTCTAATTTTAGTTTTTTATTTAAGATAGATAGATAGATAGATAGATAGATTTTAAATATTGCATTTTGCAGCACATTTAATTTCAGTGTGGAAAGACAAATCATGTCGTCATGTAAATTTCAAATTTGTACTGACAAATACATAGGAAGTTACCTTCTAGTGACCACAGCATCATACATATTCCAGATATTATCCAGGACAAGCTGCACAAACAGAGGTTTCTTTCCTTTGGACTGTGAAGACAAAGAAAAACAGGGAGCTAATGAGCATGATGTCCGTTAGGGCAGTATATGGAAAAGAGAATACACAATACACAAATACACAAATTAAGCCAGCATGTAAGTGACCCAGGGACTGTAAGGACTCATTAGTTTATTTTAAGATTTGGAGCCATAATAAAAAGCCTCTGATGTGACTGAACAAGGTCAAACTCTTCACTAACATATGTGCTCAAATGAGTTTAAAGGCTTAAGTTAGACTTGACTCTATCAGTCCTGCAAATCAATGTTTCCGTCTGGAGGTCACATCGCCCTGCATAACCAACTCTCTCTGAATGAGATCTGTCTGCCAGAGCGGAATAATGGCAATGATTGATCAGTCTAGGATGAAGACTTTTTTTGTTGTTTTTGGAGTGTCGTACGACTAGCAAGCCAAATCATTTGGTAACTGCGGACTGAGGCATAGATCTTCAAACCTCATCCTGCATTACTGAAAACATCTCCAACAAGAGGGTTCTTCTTAAACAAAGCACAAGATATTCTCATATTGTTTATGGGACAAGGACAAATTAACTTCAGGATATACATTTTTGCAAAATCTTGTCAAATCCACATGCTTTAAATGTGGCCACTGCTCAGAAATGTACACAAAAGAGGATCAAGAAGTTAAACCAAGATTTATATGTCAAACATTCTTTACAGTACAAACGTGGTTATCAATGATGAACAGATGCAAGAAAGGGCCAAATCACAATATGCAAATAAAAGCAAGAAAGACCACAAAAAAAAAACTTTCTATCAATCTATTGATTTTTAAACGCCTTTAATTTCCTAAAAAAAAAAAAAAAAACATTAAAATATATATTATCTACAGAAATATATATTTTTTTAGATAAAATAAATGAATTAAGTCTACTAATTAATAGAAAATATAAATAAAATAGGAAATTAATAGTTTTATTCAGCAAGGATGAAACTGATCAAGAGTAACAGTAAAGACCGAAAAAAAATCTATTTCAAGTAAGTGCTGTTCTTTTGAACTTTATATTTCTATTCAAACATTCTGATCATGTGACACTGAAGACTGGAGTAATGATGCTGAAAATTCAGCTTTGCATCACAGAAATAAAATAAAACATTCAAAGAGAGGACAGTTCTTTTAAATTGTAATAATATTTCACAATAATACTGTTTTTACTGTATTTTTGATCAAATAAATGCAGTTTTGGTGAGCAGAAGAGACTTTCTTCAAAAGCATAAAAAAAATCTTACCCACCCCAAACTTTTGAACGGCAATGTGCTTTTTTCAGTATTTTACGAATGCATTTTAATTCAGAAATATAAATCAAGTCCATCATAGAAGTGTAAAGTCAAATAACTGTCTGTATAATTTTCATGTGTCATAATAATAGACCCAAATACAAAATATGAGAGTCACGTTATTGTTTCCCGTTATAACACTGTGTCCAGGTCTGCTTTGTTCAGATCATTTCTTCATGGGAAGGGAGAGGATGTTCTAGACTAATGTGTGTGTGTGTGTGTGTGTGTGTGTGTGCACGTGCGTGTGTACAGTATGTGCTCTCTAGTTATTAAGGTGAGGTTTCGGTGAGGTAACTGACATCCATTAGCATAACTACGGCATATCTGAATGCCCTAAATGGCACTGCAAACCCAGAGCATCTAATGGAGGGTCTCTGCTGTCACATCACTCCTGTAGCTCTGTCAGCCCACTTCCTGTCAGTCTCTCAAAAGGGAACAGCAGATAGATGTGGCTGTCAAACCGAGTATGTAATGGGACAAACACTATATTGAAAGCCGCAGCTCTTTCAGCATTTAATGCACTACAACACAGACCTTTCCCGAATTTCTGCAGGTTTTATGAAGGTAAATGTTTTAAGGACTATTTTAAGGTCAGTTAAAGAACATTTGAAGTAACGCACTGAAGGGAACACAACACGAAATAGTGGATTACTCCGTAAATATACATCTGTGGCATTTAATATTTTGGCTTTCATCACTATACATGTTTATCTTTCTTCAGAAAAAAAATATTGACAAAATCAAAAATTTGAGCCGGCGACCTCTGGTTGAGTTCCCACAGAATGACCCATTTATTCTTTGCGGTACATGCAATATTTAATGCAACAATTTTATGAATCTAAGACCTTTTGAGGGGAAATTAAACTTTTGAAGACCTGCATAAACACGTTTTTTTTTTTTTTTTTAAATAAAGTACATAAAATATCCTTTCTCGGGTGAAAAACAACATGATCCTATTGAAAACCCATACTGTGCTGAAACCATGGCATAACGATGGCATCAGATGGTAATACCATGGAACTTGGCTATTTTGCAATGGTTTTTATATGGTGTTATAAAGTATACCAAGGTATTACCATGGTACAAGTACATAAGGCATGTTAACAAGTGTAAGAGAGTACCTGAGCTCCCTTCATGATTTTTTTGGCTTTGGCGTTGAGGTAGAAATCTCCCCACAGGGTCTTGAGCAGAACCGAGGAGCGGATGCCCATTTTCTGACTGTACATCTCGGCAAACTGATGAATGCTGTCAGAGAATTAGAGAAAAGACAACTCGGCATCATTATTTGCACTTGTCATTTATTTTATTACATTCCATTAATTTGTAAGAATGTAGTTCAAAGAGGTCTGTGATTTCAACAACATCTCTAATTTATGACAGCTGTAAGATCACTGCACAATTAACAAGTAACTAAATTGAACAGAGTATTCACAGCTGCAATGTTCATATTCAGTAAGATATCATTAGACTTCAGCTTCTGTGGAGCAGTGGTTAGTGCATGTGAATGAAGACACGTTGGACATCCAGCTGACCCAAGTTCTGGTCTGCATGATATAATATATATATATATATATATATATATATATATATATAATAGATACAACTTCTTTTGTCAGCCAAACCCATTTGACCTCAAATATTTACTTTAAGTAACCCATGACATTTTGAGTTGATATTCCCTTAATTTAACAACACTTTCACATGTTCACGGTTCTCTGATATTTAGCTAAACAAATAACATAATAAAAATATTTTTTTTAGAAAGTGTTTTATTTTATAGATATTTTGTTACATTTTTATGATTTAATTAATAACTCAAAAACCCAGTTTGATAAACCCTTCTATGTTTAATAAAAAAATAATAATTGTATGTATGAATATATATATATATATATATATAATTTTTTTTATGCATGTTGATTTGACATGAATAAATGTAAAGGAAAAAAAATATGAATGCAATTTATATTAGTCTACAGTGCATGTAATATATCTTAAATCATCCATCCAAAGTGCCATTACACGTTCATGGTAACACTATATATTAAGGTTACAATAACATTAACAATGAGCAATACTTTTGTTTCAGTATTTATTCATCTTCGTTGGCATTAGTTCATAATAATACGACTCTTCATTGTTAGTTCATGTTAGCTTAGATCCATTAAATACCATTAACAGATACAACTTTTGATTTTAATAATGTATTAGTAAATATTGCAACTAAATTGATTTAAATTAATGCTTCAGAAATATTTATCATTGTAAGTTCATGTTAAATAATGTATTAATGTTAACAAAAGGAACCTTATTGTAAAGTGCTACCATGTTTGTAAATAATCATATGTCTGAATTTGAAGCTTAAGTTTGTACTGTTATAAAATGCTATGAAACATTTTTAATTGGTTTAGATGTCCATGTCTGACTTCTAACTAGGTCACTTTTTTCTGGTCTACATAAAAAGCACACTCAGACTCTTGTGTTTCTGCTTGAGAGATTGATACGTCACATTTGCATTAGTTCAGCACAACATAACTCAAATCTCAAAATAAGGCCTCCTTACGGTAATGGACTGAAACCAGTATTTCTAGCCCATATGCTAATATACCCTCTATGAGAATTAATCTTAAAAGAAAAGAAAAAGATGTATGGAGCACTTTAGTACTTGTAGACTATGCCACATTACACTTTCATTGTATAGAAAAGAGCAGCTCAGACAGTTAGTCTAACATCATATTTAGTGTTTTTACTAAAGCAACAACATGATAAAAGACTTGGAATGACATGAGGGTCAGTAAATGATATCCAACTTTTTGAGTGACCTATTCTTTTAATCTTAAAACTGTAAAAAGGTCCTTGAGTCTGGAGTGCTTTTACAGTATAAAACATGCTGAAAGTAATAAGCTTTAGTGCACAAAACATCCTCACCAGGGGAGAGCTAGATATATCCACCTACACTAGTCATATTAGTACTTTACTTATTTCAAGTATTTAAAACCAGCATTATGTAACACCACAAAAATGTGCAATGCAGGTTGAAATCTAGTATAGTATCGCCATCTTGTGAGCTATCATAAGTACTACAACCACTGGCAAGATGTAAACTGTGAAAGCCAACCATGTAAGCTGCTTTTGATAAAATATTCTGACAAATTAATTTAATGAAATGTGAAAGCGCCCTCTGTTTGAGAAAGCGTAAGATGTACCTGAAGCCCCAGCCGTCTATAGCGCTGGCAAACACCACATTTCCACGGTCAGGACTGAAGTAGAGGTCAGAGTCATCGGTTTCTTCTAAACCTGCGCTCCAGTCGTACACCTGATCTGCACTGCTGTTCTCTGTACAGCTGCTCTGAGCTTCTGCGTCCTTCTCTGCTCGCTCCTCCAGGACTTTAGAGGTGAATAACGAGCCGGTAACTGCATTCACCTATAGAACAGACAGAAACAAACATTTAAAGCCTTAGAATTTCATCTTTGTCCAGAAACGTGGTTCAGTGACACTTCAAAGGGTCATATCACGAAAATTATCAAAATATCCTTGATCTTTGGGCTATGAAAAAAAGCGTAACTTTCATAAGTCAAAACATCCTCCTCAGACAAAAACACATTTTTTTGAAAGAAGCTGCATTAATTCAAAAATACAGTAAAAATATTGTAAAATAATGTTAAATATTATTACAATTTAAAATGATTTCAGAAACAATATTATTTTACAATATTTTTACTGTATTTTTTAATTAATGCAGCTTCTTTCAAAAACATTAAATCTGCATTTTTGCAGATTTAATCTTTTATTATTTTAAAATATTATTACAATTTAAAATGCAGATTTAATGTTTTTGAAAGAAGCTGCATTAAGTCAAAAACACAGTAAAAAATATTGTAAAATATTATTACAATTTAAAATGATTTCATTTACTGATTAAGTATTCATTAAATATTAACAATTTAAATTGATAATATTTTAAAATGTAATTTATTGCTGTGATCAAAGCTGAATTTTCAGCATCATTACTCCAGTCTTCAGTGTCACATGAACCTTCAGAAATCATTCTAATATGCGGATTTGCTGCTCAAGAAACATTTATTATTATTATCAATGTGATGAAAACAATATTTTTGTAGAAACCAGATACCTTGATTTTTTTTTCAGAATAAATAGAAAGTTCAAAAGAACAGCATTCATTTAAAATGTAACTTTTTGTAACATTATAAATGTCTTTGCTGTCACTTTTGTGTCTTTGCTAAATAAAATTATCAATTTATTTTAAAAATCGTACTGAGCCCAATACTGATGTTATATAAAATCATATAAAAATATGTAAACAAATAAAACAAGAATAACATTTTCTGCAGTATGCAAGTTGACCTAAAAAAAAAAAAAACACACACACATGACAAGACTCCTCTTTCACACACAATGACTTTCAAAATCCATGTTTGTACTAGTTTGTTCCAGAGCTTCAGCCGTGTTTTGGAGCTCTGACTCACCTGCTCGAGTATTTTCTGCAGGTGAGTGAACGCCTCCTGTGAAGTGAGTTTCAGCTCCACGATCAGCCGGTCGATTTTGTTGATGACAAGAACAGGACGGATATTCTCCAGCCAAGCCTGTCGTAGAACAACTTGTGTCTAAAGCAGAAAAGAAAGAAATGGTGTAGAAGTTTTAAAAACAGAACCATCATTTCGACCGCACAAGCATAGCTGTCAAGTAGATTCAGGATGTTTAATGCAAAAAAATATATTCAAAAATATATTTTTACTTAATCTATAGCATTGCGATTAATGATAACTTTCATGAACATTTGATGTCTGGCAAACACTGAGTTATAACACAAATCAGGAATCAGTGTTTTGAACAAAGAATCAACTCACTGAAATGCAAACGAAGGACAGGACTCAAACTTACAAACTCTAATGTTGTACATTTTAATGAGAAGCCATTTAATTACCTCTATTTTTACGTTAAATTAAAACCAAAAACAGTCTTTAGGAAATTACCAAATAAAATGATGACCAAATAAAAAGTGTGTAACTGTCATTGCAATTCTTAAGAAACTAGAGTCGGACTCGTAACCCAAAGGTTGCAGTTTCTAGTCTTGTACCGGCAGTGATTGTAGGTGGGGGGAGTGAATGTACAGCGCTCTCCTCCACCTTCAATACCATGACTGAGGTGCCCTTGAGCAAGGCACCGAACCCCCAACTGCTCCCCGGGCGCCCATCCAAAGTGCACACACACAGCAGTGAACACACACACACACACCGTGAACACACACCCGGAGCAGTTGGCAGCAATTTTTGCTGCGGCGCCCGGGGAGCAGTTGGGGGTTCGGTGCCTTGCTCAAGGGCACCTCAGTCGTGGTATTGAAGGTGGAGAGAGCGCTGTAGATTCACTCCCCCCACCCACAATCCCTGCCGGTACGAGACCTTTTGGGTTACGAGTCCGACTCTCTGACCATTAGGCCACGTGTTCACTGCTGTGTGTGTGCACTTTCATAGTATTTAAGCAGTGATAAAGGCATTGCATTATAAATATACTTTATTTTAATGAAAATTATAATAATAAGAACTCAGATAAACCGTATACCGGGTCACCATACTTGGCCACGTGTCACGTCACTTTCTCACTTTTACTCATATTTTGAAACACAATAAAACTAATACAGTAAAACTTGCATGTGAAAACACGCTCAAATCATGGATGATACCTGCGGACACACTCCCTCGACGGCATCAACAACAACAATGGCCCCATCACACAGTCTGACGGCAGTGGACACCTCAGAGGAGAAGTCCACGTGACCAGGAGAGTCGATCAGATTAATAAGGTACTCGTTTCCTCCTGCAATGACAACGACAGCTCTTAACCGTGAGTGCATGAGCAGTTCATGCTGCTGGATCAGTAAAGCTACAGACCGCAGTGGCCCATTACCTGTTGTGTACTGTAAAGAAATAGCGCTGGACTTCATAGTGATTCCTCTGATCTGCTCATCTTCTCTGCTGTCCAGATATCTCAGCTACAGAAACAGACAGAAAGGACATGTCAGAGTCTTATTTCACATCCAAAGCAAAAGGGAAAAATTATACTGCATTTTGCATGAAGGCTAATTTTTACATTTTTTTAAAATTAAGCAATCCAATTATTTCCCTCTGGTTTTAAAGGTGACATATCATGAAAATCTGATTTTTCCAGGTTTTAAGTGCTATAATCAGGTCCCCAGTGCATCTACCAACCAAGGAAACATGAAAAAGATTAACCCTGTAACTTTGTTTTGGTAAGCCTTTTTCTACAAGCGTCTCGAGAAAACAAGCGCATCTGACTTCGCTCCCTTGGTGATGTGACAAAGGGATCTCATTATAATATTACCGCCACTTAATCTGTAAGTTTCCATCCACGGCGCCGTCATTTTGATTTTGCAAGCGACAACGGTGTACCAGCTCTAATGCCATGGTGAAAGTCTGAGCAAAACATGCTAACTGTTCTGCCTTTGTCTGCACAGAACACTATTTAGAGTCCCAGCCTCAGAGGAGACAACAGAGCAGAGGATTTATTGATTTATTTACTGTATATTGCTGCTGCCAGCCTGCCACACAGCTCTAAAATAAACATGCAATTTATTTCCCAGCAGTTTACCGTCACAGACATAACCGACAGTTTTTTTGTAACTCATGAGTGTTTTTAACGTAAACTTGTGTGTGAATGAGAACTTAGTTTAGTACTCACATGCTGTGACAGCCGCTTTCTGTGCGTGTGCTTCGGATGTGTGCGCTCAGAAAACCGTATATCAGAAGTTTAAACTAATATGGTTTAAAACGCATGATTTCAGCGCGATAAACATGATAATCAGAACCAAAACAGATGTTTTTAGCAGGTCCGAGCTGTAAAGGCGCAGCTCTATTCTGGAAAAGGGGGCAGGGAGCAGCAGTGCATTTGCATTTAAAGAGACAGGCCCCAAAAACAGCGTGTTTCTGCTTTCACTCAAAATAGGCATTTTCAAAATGATATAATAAATGATATGTGGAGTATTTTGAGCTGAAACTTCACAGACACATTCTGGGAACACCAGAGACGTATATTACATATTGTAAAAAGGGGTATAATATGTCTCCTTTAAGGGTTGTTAATGGTTGGGGTTGAAGTTAGGGAAGGACAGGGATAGGACTATGTTTGTTTGACAAAATAAATAAAAAATAGAAATGCTGACTACATTCAAGAGCCTGTAAAAAGTTATTTTAATGATTCTTTTTACTGAGTCATGAGTTGTACATTTCTGAGATTAGTGAAACCTATTTCTTAATATGACAATCAATATTATTTCAGTATTATTTATATGATATTACAGTCTACAATACTACAGCTTTTATTTTTATATTTTCAGGTTTCATTTTTCATTTTAGTTTAGGTTTTAGTTGTTATGTGCTTTTGTCCTTTTTATTAGTTTTTGATTTTTAATGTCTATTTAGCTTTCAAGTATTTTATTTCAGTTTAAATGAGTACTTCAAATTAACATTTTTATTTATTTATAATTTTATTCCCTGCTTAGGTTCGTTTACGTTTTTCATCTAAAATGTATATTTTTTGTTTTAAATTAATTAATAAATGTGATTTTTTTTTTATAGTTTTACTTACCACCAACATCAATAACAAAATGTAGTTAAAGATAGATTATCATAATAAATAATATTTAATTTAAAAACACACAAAATACAGTACTGTGCAATAGTCTTAGGTCATAAGTATTTTCACCAACAAAAAATGGTTTTAATGCAGTTAATTTTATCTTTTGTTGTAGTGTGTCAGTAGGAAATATCGTCTCCAAGACACTTCAAGAAACCAAGCAACAGTACTGTGAAAAGTTTTAGGCACTTGTGTAAAAATCCTGTAAATTGAGGATGCTTTCAAAAATAATGTCATAAATAGATTTTATTTATCAATTAACTTCTAAACTAAATCAATTCACCATTTGGTGTGACCACCCTTTTTGTTTAAAACAGCTTTTGTCCGAGGTACACTTGCACATAATTTTTCAGTTAGCTTTGTAGGAAGGTTTCATGAAGCATCTTGGGCCCTGTCCACATGAACGCGGTTATTTTTAAAACCGCAGCTTTTTCTACGCGGTTAGGCCATTCGTTCACACGCAAACGCAGCACCAGGTCACTGAAACTGAACATTTTTGAAAACGCCTGCCAGGGTGAAGATTTTCCAAAACTCTGGTTGCAGTGTTATCGTGTAGACAGTGTAGACAAAACCGGAGTTTTTGGCTTGTGACGTCGGTGCCTGCGCTTTTATCTCCGCCTACTGGAGACTTTTTCAGGCTTCTGATTGGCCAACATAGCTTTATGGTAGGGCTGCACGATAAATCGAAATGGAATCGAGATCGCGATTCGACAGAAGCTGTGATTGTCAAGCGTATCTTTCAGTGAAGCACGGTTCTGTGATCAGCAGTAAATCTCCATCCAAAGGCCAGAGGGCGCTCTCTCGCTAAAACTCCAAATACGTCTCGCAGAAGAAACCCAGAAAATGCCTATCGCTGCAGCTGAATAAACAGAAGATTCAACTGCTTTCATTGATTCAACGTGACTAATAAACACACGACTACGGCAATATACGGTATTATCTGAGTTCTTATTATTATAATTTTCATTAAAATAAAGTATATTTATAATGCAACGCCTTTATCACTGCTTAAATACTATGAAATATGTTATCTTATTTTAGTGAGTGAGTAACGTACTAGGAATTAGTGCTCTGCATTTAACCCATCCTTAGTGCACACACACAGCAGTGAACACACACACGGAGCAGTGGGCAGCCATTTATGCTGCGGGGAGCAGTTGGGGGTTCGGTGCCTTGCTCAAGGGCACCTCAGTCGTGGTATTGAAGGTGGGAGAGAGCGCTGTACATTCACTCCCCCCACCTACAATCCCTGCCGGTACAAGATTCAAACCCACAACCTTTGGGTTACGAGTCCGACGCTCTAACCATTAGGCCACGACTTCCCCCAATAACTTATCTTATTCTGTGCAAGAAGCCACATCATCTCACAGAAGGATTTATTTCAAACACTCGACGTTATGAAGTGAGTTTGGAGTAAAAATATGTTATTAAATGTGGTATTTTCACGTGCTTTCAGATGGAGCAGCATTTACTACACAGAGCCATAGTTCACTGAGAAGCTATGCAAACAGCTGTCATTATCGCGAACGATTTCTTCGATTTCATTTGCGATTTTTTTGCGTATCTTGTCAGTGAACTACGGCTGTGTGTAGTAAATTCTGCTCCATCTGAAAGCACGTGATAATGATTTCCTGCTGATTACAGAACCGGCATTACTATCAAAATGCGCATGACAATCGCATTCGATTAATCATGCAGCCCTACTTTACGGTTGAGATTATATCGCCACCTGTTGGCCTGGCATGCTCTTGACAGTGCTTCATAGCATGCGTTTGCGTTTTCATGTGGACAGAGATTTTTTTTTTTAAACGGAAGAAGGAAAAACACGTGTACATGTGGACATGGCCTTGGAGACGTTGGCACAGTTCTTCTGGATTTAGTCTGTCTCAGTTTCTTCATGTAATCTCAGACGGACAGGATGATGGTGAGATCAGATCTGTGCGTGGAGCACTGGCTGTCGTCAGACTCTTTGTGCATACAAAAATCTCACTGGATTATTATAATTAATGGCAAAAGAAATGTTTGGAAATGTAAACTGACATTTCCTACTGACACACTACAGCAAAAGATACAGCACTGGCTGTCGTCAGACTCCTTGTGCATACAAAAATCACTGGATTATTATAATTAACGGCAAAAGAAATGTTTGGAAATGTAAACTGACATTTCCTACTGACACACTACAGCAAAAGATAGAAATAACTGAGTTAAAACCATTTTTTGTTGTTGGTGGTGAAAATACTAATGGCCTAAGACTTTTGCACAGTACTGTATGTTGGGAAAAAAGTATAAGTAATGGTGCAGATGTTATTAGGCTAATCACTGATCAATTCTCTGTAGGTCCACTTACCTTTCCAGCTAAACGACTGGAGATAATACCATTACTTGCCACCAGGGAGTCTGCTAATGTCGTCTTCCCTATAGGCAACACACATTTACAAACACAAAGTTTCAAGTTTGAACTAAAATCTTGTGGTAGACGCCAAACAGTTAATAACAACAAAGATCTGACACACATCAGCATCCTTTAAACTCACCATGATCTACATGAGCAAGAATGCACAGATTCCTGATGTGTGAGGTTTTCTTCTGCAGTGCAATTATCTTCTCCAAACTTGTGTGACCCATTTTGACTTTCTATACCATGAAGATGAAGCACAAGAGGTGAAGATCATTTCATTATTAGTGCAAATACATATACAGCAACCCCAAAAAGCATGCATTTGAGCTTAAGTTGCTTAAAAATGTCATATATTCTAGAACGCTTCACCACATTCGTCAACAATTTAGAATTAGTGTTGTCATAAACACAATACATAACGACACATAAAGAGAAAAATGGATGGTACAGGGTGAAAAGTGGTGGTTTGGGCATAAAATCAATATGGTTAGACATGTTTTTAAAGAGCTAACAGCAGCATCAGATGATTCACTTTTAACAGTGTGTCAATTGTTTATCATTTCAACCCTTTTTGTGAAATGTTTTGCGCGTGCTTGCGCTGTCTGTCTTTTAAACGCCATTCGGTTTGACATTTTGTTATCTATTTATGTGTCCATGTGCAACTTTTCAAAACAACGTCCATTCAACGAAAACTGACAGACTGTTAAAGAACCTTAACATTCACCGCATATATAATGTCGTAAGAATTAAACGCGCATCCTCAGCAAACATAAAACTGATATTCACCGCTACATTCCTTGAATAATCTTCAATACCATAAGCATAAAAAACGACAACAGACACTCACATGTCACCTCTAGTCCAGGAAGCGCAAATGTGCGTAGCCCGTCGCACGCGTCATACGTAATACGTTACGCTGCGTAACCACCAGGACGCCGCAAACATTAGTTGCCGGGGAAACGGGACGCTTAGTACATGACAACGCCAGCAAGCAGTCAGTAAAGTGAGGAAAAATTATAATTTTCCTCAATAAACCGAGGAAAATGACGCGGCTTTGTATCTGTGAGATGTGCAGCTGTGGGTGAGAGTATTTTTGAGTGTGTTTGTCTGTTTTTGTAGTAATGTTTGAAGCCCGAGAATGTGTTTTGGATAATTGATAGGTAAATTACGGTGGCCGTGAAGTGCGAAACAAATCCCAATTCTGAAAACAAATTACAAACGCAAATGCAAGTCTAAAAAACAAAATAACAATTCAGAAAACATTATAACAAGTCAGAAAACACAACGACAAATCAGACAAACCGGAAGAGGTAGGTATAGTTTGAGACAGCGCCATTGGTTTGGGATTACTCACCGCTGACTGGACGAGACATCTGTCAATCAACATATACAGGGAAGAACCAGCCGAAGAACAGCAGAGTCGTGGTAGAAAGTTCGGAGATGGTATTAAAGTAGCTCAGTTTAAATGTATTGTATGAATTGCCCTTACTATGGAATAAAAAATACGGAGTGTCTATTTACACTTAGTTAAAAGTGGCTGTGAAATATTAGCTCCAGTGGTGCAGATGGATAAGTGTGTGTCACCGACTTTTTGGCGTGATTGACCCGGGTTCGATCCCGCATTTTGCCGAACTTTATTTTCCTCCCTTTTCAAATCTCGTATTAGGAATGGATTCTATTTACACTAAGTGAAAATAGCTGTATTTTTAGCAATATGCCATAATTAATTGGGAAATAGTGAAGAAAATGTCAAGTAGTCAATTTAATTTGATTTGAATTTTAATTAAATTAATTGCTTTCAGTTTGAAGCAAATGCAAGTCCTCAATACACCTGTAGTGCAAAGAAAATAATATGAAGAATCAAGCGTGTATTTGATGGAGGCTTTAGTTAGTGACAGAGTTTGTTGTATATCTGTTGCTCTGGACTACACAAAACATGTTCAGTAAAAGTACTGCGGAATCTGACAAGAATCTCTTGGTGAACGACATATTAATGAGTTTATGTCTTCTCAAAAGTATCAATTATTATTTGTGGCACCTCTGCCTTAAATGCTTCTCTATTATCTTCAGCCGCGCAGCGTTGCCGGTACAGGTCCACGGAGCACAGCTTGAGACGTTTCACCACAGGACAGTAGTGGGTTCGGTCCTTACACTCACCTGCAGATATACCAAACAAAACCAAGCTTATTCAAATTACACCTTTAGAAATCGTACTTTTCAAAAAG